CTCCCGAGACACACCTGCGCGGCCTGCCCGCCTGCGTCGTGCTCCTCGGCCCTTCGGCTCTGTGCCCTCCCGAGACACACTTGCGTGGCCAGCCCGCCTGCTTCGTGCTCCTCGGCCCTTCGACTCTATTCCCTCCTGAGACACACCTGCGCGGCCAGCCCGCCTACGTCGTGCTCCTCGGCCCCTCAGCTCCTCGGCTCCATGTTCCCTGAGACCGCGTCCGCGTGGCCCGCCTGCCTGAAGACAGAAGCCATGCATCGGTCTCCCCTTGTACAACAACCGGCGCATAGCTCCTTTCGGGGGGGGCGGGAATATGATAAGGGTAAAAATGGTAACATGACACCCCCTGACGTCAGCCATGCTTGGACAACACACTGCCCGAGGAAATGGGCATTAACGCCGACTTGATATGCGCCAGCGTCACCCGCTCCCAGTAAACGACTCCACCGTCTGACCCCGCGCGCTCAGCCGAGACAGAGGAGGACGTCGACCGAGGCTCACCCATACCCTGCGGCAGCCGGTTCTCCACGCAACCCCAGTGGCAATGTCAGACGCCATCAGAGGTACGGTCCTGCTCCTGCAGGCAGCCACATCAGTTAACATCAAATTCATCTATAAATACCCCAGAGTTCTAGACGAACGAGGGAGAGGAGAAAACACAGACACAACACTTATATGGAGGCATTTTCCTCCTCCTAAACCCCCTCCACATCACTAACTTGATCGTCGGAGGGGTCGGGCCAAGCTCCCGGCCCGACCTGTGTGCAGGTGCAAGACGGGGTCGACTCTTCCCAGCGCTGCGACGACGCACTCCCCCCGACGCGACGTCCCGATCGGACCGTCGAGACAGGCCACTGGGAGACCTCGAAGGACACCGCCCGAGATCCCCGACATCCGGACCCCCGAACCGAGCCGCGACGGCCTCGAGTACACGGCTTAAACAGATGCCCCCCGCATCAGCTGTCGATTGCGACAAGACAGATCAAGGGGAGAAGAGGTGGACGCTCGGCTTGTATGAAGTCCGTTGGTGGCCACGAAGAGAGGCGAGGAAGGGAAGAGGAGGAGATAACCGATAGCTTGGCGAGGATGACGGCGCCGCCAATTGCGATGGATACTATGTCGAATTGGGAAATATGTCGAGGAGACGAGTATTTGATTTTATTTATTTATTTTATGTATTCAAATCACGTAATTAAATTAATTAATTAAATTTATGATTAATTTTTAAATATTAAATTTTCGTATATGTTTGTATCATTATCTTCTATCAAAATTCCTTCTCTCTCTCTCTCTCAATTATAAACTAAGACAATACTACGGAATTAGATGAGCCGAACATGTGGTGAAGGCGGCATGGGGAGAGGCTTATGACCGACCAGCTATCAAGAAAGAAATGAAGCCCATTCCTTCACTTCCCCATAGAATTTAATTCTCTCTTCTTATTCTGTGGTTAACCGGAAACAAGAGGGTGTCATGTGTGCTCGTATGTGTAGTTTACCTTACATTATGTTCTGTAAGCAACATTTCCTACCAATCCTCGGATTGCGTCAGTAATCCCACGTAATAATTTTATACTATACATCTAATTTCGAATCATAATTAAAGGGCTAATTATATATTAATTAAATCTTTATAATATTTTCATTCATAAATTTAAAATTTTATTATAAAAATAAATTATTTAATCTTATTTATCTCGATTTCATTAGTTTTACTTACGAGTGATATAAAAATGATAGACAAAAAGATAATCTTATGATGGGCTAATTATATATTATTCATTATTCGTGCAGTTAGATATCTTTAGTATCTCAATCTTTATATTTAAAAAAAATATATTAAGATTTTTTTAATTATAAAAATAAAAATTTAATCTCATTTACCATAACATAATTGGTTTTATCAACGAAAAATATATAACATGTGCATAAATAATATGAAAATAATATGTAAAAGGATAATTTTTATGGTGGTAGACTAATTATAAATTACCCCATATAATTAGACCTCTTTAGCATCTTGATCCATAGATTTAAATAATTTATATTGAAATCTACATAGTTATAAAAGTGAAATATTTAATTCAATTTACCTTAATGCCATCGATTTTACGTACAAAAGATACAACATGTGCATGAATGGCATCGCATCGGTCTGCCTCACCTGTCTCCTCCCTCCTCATCGTTGGCGATGCAGATGTCTCACTTGCCTCCTCTTCCTCTGACATCGACGCAAATGTCTCACCTCTCTCATATTCCTTCTCTGAAGCCAACATAAATATCTTACCGTTTTGTCTCCTCTTCTTCTTTATTATCGAATCGACATCGGAAGGTCAACCACCACATTATTATCGTTAACTATCACCACAACAATCACCCATGATGCTATCATTCATCACTACCATTGAGATTATCTTTCTGCTTATCATTTTTGTATTACTCATGCACATGCATGTTGTATATTTCGTCGGTAAAATCGATGGTGTCAGTATAGATGGAGTTAAATGTTTCATCTTTATAACTATAAGGATTTCAATATAAATTTTTTAAGTTTAAATATTGTGATGCTAAATATACCTAATTTCGTGTAAGCGTTATATCTTCCATCAATAAAGTCAATAATGATTAAATAAATAAAATTAAATATTTTATTTTTGTAACTCTTGTTTCCGGTTAACCACAGAATAGGAAGACAGAATTAAATTATATGGTGAAGGAATGGTAACAACATCAATTGAAAATAAGTCACCTAGTCATTGAAGGTGCAATTTGGAACACAATTATTTATCAATTATAGGAAACAAGGCCTTAATGATAAAAAAGATTTCAAAAACCTCTCCGTATATATATGATAATGACCTTCTGCAACATCTCATATTTAATTTGAGGACCTAATTGTGTGTGTGTATATATATATATATATATATATATATATATATATATATATATATATATATATATATATATAAAAAAAAAAATATATATATATATATATA